ATGTGTTACAATAATTTTCTATTTTATAATATTACAATACACTGCTCTTACAGCAAGTAAATTTTTTTATATTACACGTACGACGTTTCGATCACTGGTGCGATCATTCTTAAATAGATAAGCTTTAACTGTAAAGAACGTTTTAGTATTTAAAACAACACTCAACAATCTAAAAATATATGTAAAAACATTCTTAGGTTTTTCAAAGTTGCTATAAATAATGAAACGTTCTTTACAGTTAAAACTTGTGTAGTTGAGAATGATCACACGAGTGATCGAAACGTCGTACCTGTAATAAAAACAATCTTACTTACTGTAAAAGTTGTAACTTGTAATATAATTAATATGTAAGTAAACTCAAAACGAAACTATTGACTTTCTATTTTGTTTAGACCCACTTGTCAGTTAGTTGCTGCTATAACTGGAGTGTTTGAACTCTTCCATATAAGCACATCATCTGTGAACTGGGAGAGAAACAGAGGGATTTTGGTGTATTAAGGGCATTTTACTTACATACATGATGAATAGTTTAGGGCTAACTACCCCTCTTTGAGTAGCAGAAGAACAATAAAACACAAAACTCTTGGAAAACAAAGCACTAGGACAAAACAACATTCAAAACTTATTACTCAAGAAAGACACTCTGAGATTATTAGAACATCTCACATCTTTAAACAATTTATCTCTAAAAACAGGATACATACCAACCGCTTGTAAACATGCCAATTTCATACGTTTCAGAATAAAAGGAAAACCAGCGAATAACCCAGAAAACTACAGACCCTTAAGTCTATCAAGCAATCTAGGAAAACTACTTGAAAAAATATAAATAATAGATTAATAAATCACCTTGAAACTAAATCAATACTCCCGGAAATACAAAATGGCTTCCGAAAAGCAAGACAAACAACAACAGATTATCTCTTAAGATTAACGGAAGAAATAATACACGGCTTTAATCAAAACAATGCACAGTCGTATGCTTCCTAGTTCTTGAAAAACCATTCGATAAAGTATGGCACAATGGACTCAGATAAAACTGTCCAAACTGGAACTCCCCATAGAAATTACTCGCTAGATTTCAAATTTCCTGGAAGATAGGAGCATCAGAGTAAATGTTGAGGGCACCTACTCCGAGTACTGCACTCCGGAGGCGGGTGTCCCTCAAGGAGAAGTATTTAGCCCTACCATGTTTATCATGTATGTCAGCGACATGCAACTCAAAGACCTAAACCACACTTTTTGCTCACAGTCCGCAGATGATGTTGCAATCTGGAAGAGTGCTCCAAACCCAACCACATATAACCACCATTAAACGAAATAGAATTGTACGGCAATAAGTGAGGAATTAAAATTAATGCGCACAGAACACAAGTCATATTACTAAATCGAACAAAACAAGCAAAATAATATCACAGTCATCTCTAGACGGGACTCTCTTACAGGTAGCAACATCAGCAAAATTCTTAGGGATTACATTTGACTCTTAATTAAATTGGATACCACACATTAATAGCATAAAAACTAGAATTTGGAGAAAAAAAACGAGTTACCTTGGGAGACTGACTAGCAACAACAAAGGAGCTTCTCCAAAAAATATATTAAACTTTACAGAACATACATAAGACGTAGAATATGCCTGTATAACGTGGATCAATATTTCAAAAACACACATCAGCAAACATAAAACTATATTTTAACGAAAGCATTTAGAGTACCACGATCAGCAAGCTTGGTATTTCTACACAACTATTCAAACATACCAACGCTATCAGATCCCTAGATAACTCGCTTCAATATTATAAGAAAAATATTAATAGAAATGAACTGATGAACAAACTAGAAAGTTACATAATATATGGTGAACCAAGCCCCAAGTACCTTTCCCCTCTGAACATCACAAATAAGAGACTTACAGGTCAAACAGTGCTAGGCTAATTGAATCCTAGACACAAACGTAGCTCTATTTTACAAGGGTTTTATATGTAGAAATAGGATTATGTGTTGTTTGAGTATGACTGCTAAGCGCAACTGTCACGTGAACACGAACTAATAGTGCGACTATGCATAAGTGACGATAGTAAAAATATACGAGTTAATTAATATTATCCTATGAATTGGATATGGCACAAAATAGGCATGTTAATTAAAACTGAGAACAATGGACAAAATTTAGCAAACTTGACCCTCCCTGGTCCAAAACATGGACCAATCCCGATGAAGAAGTTCCTGTGAACCTTTTACAGGAGATAGATTGTCCGGATAACTTTGAAACATTTTTATAATGGAGGTATAGGGCATTTTACAGTTTGTTGATAGTAACTGTGTAAAAAATTATCGGATTAGGACCGAATTTCAGGCGCAGATTGAACCAAAAATTTGCGTGGGTATGCAATCTCTCCGATTGCTCTTGTTCATATAAGTCATCATACAGTTGTTTGTCTTGGAATGTAATTGTTTTCAAATAAAAGCTCCGTTTTTTTATCATTTTAAAAATATGCTTTAAGGTTTTTATATAGTTCTAGCATACATCCGACTGGGATACGACAAATACACGAGACGTTATTTATAATAGCAAATTACATAACAAGATTAACTGTAATTTTTCGTCGATTTTATTTATGTCAATTAGTCTAAGGCTTATTTAACACTATATTATTTTTTAATATAAGCTCTCTGCGATAAACTATTGCAGGAGTAGCATAGTATCTCGAAAGGTTACTCACTTTGTATCACTGTTACTTTTACAATACTGCTTTAATTCTTTGTCCAACTATCTTTTCATTTCATAGTGTATCAAATAACATTAAACTTTTATATGATATTGCAAGCAACAAAACCTTTTATAGGCCTATGTAACGGATCCTTTGAATTTATAGCGTTTTAGTGAAATATCTTAATTTTCGCCCATTTCATATATAGTTTATATTTTACAGCAAAGCCACATTTGCTATCTGCTGTGTACACCACTGAGGAATATAAACCCGGATTTTAATATTGTAAGTCTATAGACTTACCGCTGGGGAACATTAGTTTTTGAACCAAAATTTAACTAGAAAGCATTCAAGAATTAATTACTTCGTAAATTTTTAAGAAACGGTGCTGTAACAAAAATATCGTTACGTCTCTGGTCGTTTGTTATTTTCGAATGAAACTTTAACGACACAAGTCCTTTCTTAAATAAAACTAGTTTATTCTTTCTTAATTTAACTTTGCAATACATTTAATTTCCACAGTCACTTTAACTTAAACACACGCTATAATTCACAACGAAAGATTCACGTACTTTATTTACGACTTGACTCGATTATCTGTCTCTATCTCTTCAATCTGTAATTATTCATATGCATGCCGTCACTTCTAGCCGGTCTTATATATATATACGAAATAAGAGCGTCTGGAGAACACTCGAGGCTTCACGAACGGACATGATCTTTCTAGAATCTCATGATGTGTTACTAGCGTCACGTGTCTTCCGCTGTCATAACAATATTATCACATTTGACTATTTTTTTATTATCTAACATAAATTAATTATGTACTAAGAAGATTGTGAAAACTATGATTAGAACGGCACAAGCAGTTGAAGAAATTGTGTACCACTCAGAAAAGTTGGTTCTTAGTTTGTGTCAAAGTTGAATTTCTAAATCGTCACCTGCCTTGTTGATACCTATTTGTATGACTTCTAAATGTAATATTAAGCTACCAAGGTTAAGGAGTGGTCACAAAATTGTGTATAAAATTTTTACTTACAACCAAAGACGGACAAGTGAACACAGAAAGAAACAAGAATTAATTTAATAGAGTTGTTTAAACATTTGTTTAACAACAAGTAAAAGCTTGGAATGGTATATTCTTTCATTGGCGGGTGTGTCTGTGAGCCAGACAATGGCAAATTGATCTGAATTAGCAGTTACTTTACATACACTGAGGCATAGTAGTATACTGAATGATTGTACACCCACTAAAACTATATTTTAAAGAAAACTTAACACCACGTTACTATTTACACATGCTTAATAAACACATTATTTAGAAACAATTTTGTTACATCTGTTGATGATACAGACTAGACGTACTTCCGAAGGGTCCCCGAAAGTGTTCCGTTTCAAAAGTAATTAAAACCAAGATTAAGAGTAACAAATATTTTTATTTCTTGCTTTTGAAGTTTATGTCATGCTGTGTTGTAGCCTACAGAATACGTAATTGAAGGCATGCGCACGTTTTACTGACGTCACAACAGTACAAACTGCAACATAACGTAACATATGTGACATCATTTTAATGTCTGCTTACTGATTGACAGCCAACACACTAGTGTAAAGTGGTTAAAACAGGTGAACCCTTCGGGTCCCTTTCAGGAAATTACACGACGTTTACAGTCCCTATCGGATTTTTAAACCTTCTTTTCTATCAGCTATTTACGCTAAAAAAATGTGGTTTCGTGACTTTGTTGGTTAGAAGGTTTTTGAAAACATTACGAAAAAATTTAAAAGATACCAACAATACTGTAATTAATCCTAATAACTTTTGCTGGAGTTCACAAAGCATTTCACTTAGAAAATGAATGACTTTACCCAATTATTTTGGTCATTTCCTTTAACAGACAAAAACATAAAGTACTCAATATGTAGACCCCATCAATATAAAGTGTTAAAGAAACAAGTTGATAGACAGAGTGTGAAATATGGAACTGACAGAAACAACACTATATATGCATATGTTGCCACAGTTCATAATACATACAGAGTCCACATAAGTGTTCTTTTCAACATTTGTTCCTTAACAAAATTCGTGTGAAATACTGTCAGTCACATTAGTAGAAAATTCCTTTCAGTTTGATATCGTTAAATGACTATTTTAACAAAATGGATCACGCAATTTTCATTATGTTTATATGACGTGTAGATTAAAAAACAATACTTTTCTCATAGTCCAAAACTGTTCACAAAATTTAGAAATGCAAAACAGTGCATTTCTGATAAAATAAATACACAGTCAACAGATAATTATACATTTTATTCCTTAAAACAAAGTTAATACATCATGAAAAACACCGTGGTTTTATAGAAATATCTGGAATGTACTATGATGTGTTACATAATATAGTCTTAACCCATTCACTGATACACAATTTATGGTGTTTTATTATTCTTGGTGAATTTGTTACATTGTTGAAGTTTCTGATGCAATTTCAAAACCACTAAAACAGATTGTTTATGACTTCAGAACTGATCGTGAGGTCATGTTTATCTTTTACTAGCAACCAAAGATCGCTTTCGTGACATTTTTAGGCCTACTGTTCTCAACTACGTAATGTTTATTCATTTTCATTTTTACAGATATCGAGTCAAGACTGTTACACTATAAAGATAGCCTAAACGGTACTTGTGCTGCGATTGGCCGATGGAAAATGACGTCACTAATGGCACTTTGCCTGTATGACGGATGACAATGGCCAGACGCATGGCGGCAACTGTTTAGTTTTAAATAGCAAAACACTATATTATGATTAAATACAACGTTTCCACTATACAAAATGCGGCAAAACTGTTAAAGAGTTTTCATTTAATGACTGTTTTAGTTTTATCTGCACATCAATACCTGAAAATCATAAGACTTCATGTTCAACAACTACCATCTTTGTGGTCATCTCCATAATGTAAAATTGTGAACAAAAACACCATTAGTCACAGAAAGAAAAACACCTTTATATTACTATCAATAAAATGTCATTTCCTACAAAGTTTAAAGAAGAAGAAAAGTAACAAATACCATGTAGATTGCATAGGTAGAATGGAAACGTAAGCTACTCTCTTTTCGCCATAATTTGCAGGTCACAGGATTGAAATCTATGACCAAACGTACTAGCCCTTTCAGCCATGGGGGCGTTATAAAGTTGGTAAAGAGTAACCCAAGAACTGGCAATGTGTGTTGCCAAATCATTTGCCGTCCCTCTGGATGGCAGTTAAAAATTAAAGATAGTGGCATATAGTCTTAGTAGCTCTGCAATAACCAATCTATCTAAAAATTACCTTAACAAAAACCAGATTATTAGAATTAAAATGACAGCAACATGAAATAAAAGCAACACCTTGGGATTGATAATTTTATATATCAATAACCAAGTCAATTAAAGATTTAAAAACTTGTAAAAAAATTATATAAACATAATGAAAACAGTTAACTTTTTTACAAATAAAACACTTATTTTGCCTCAAGTTTTCTACTCTGTCCAAAATATTATCATCAAGTATTTGGTTTGAGATAAGTTTTACAAATAGACACAAGATACATAAACTTCAGCCATTTTTATATGTCAGATCTATTTCATATATACTAACTAAAGCTTTTAACTGTATAATATCTTTATTTTTTAATGGACAACCAAGACTTGGTCTGGAGAAATATTTGTAACTTTCATATGACATACAAATCACCTGGCTTCAAAAGACTATTTGAATAATATCAAAATAATATAACTTACTCAAAAATATCAGTCGTTTATGACAAATTAATTATGTAACATAGACTGTAAAACACATCATTAAGAAGTTACAAACTGCACATGGATTACAGAGTGGAAACACTTTTGTTCAAGTATCTCATGCTTTAAATTTCATCAGGGTACTCTTGCATTCTACAACTATTAATAAAATTTGTAGTTTAAATATAACATAAAAAAAATACTTTCCTCAAGGAAGTATTTATTATGATAAAGGATTAATCTTATAAACAACAGATTTTATTAGAGATTCTTAATTATTACTTAGAAAATAAGATGTAAAAACATTGAAGCTTGATAATTTTTCAGAATATAAATTTTCTTGTTTGTTTGTTGTTTAATACATATTTCCCATAATGTATTACAACAATTCAGTGACCAAACCCTGAACTGTTAGCATTATAAGCACTCAAGTTTACTACTGAGTCACCAGGGAACTACCGTTTTTTAAATAATTGAATCTTTCTATAAATGCTTAAATCTTCTTTGATCTTGAAATTTAAAGAGGTAACATGGTAATATTATAATACCGGTCTTCACAGTTAAAGTATGGGTAAATGACCATCATACCAGAAGACTAAGTCTAGTTTTTTTTTCATTACAACTGATAAAGAAATTTGTCAGTTATCAAAAAATGGAATGTTCTTAATAAAATGAATGAATTTTGGTGTGTATAAAATATCACAGCATTTAGTAAAAAATGTTTGATATAAATGTATATTTTTTGGACGGAATTTCAAATTCACATTTGTCATAAACAAAACAAAAATGCTGCTGCGAATAAAGAAAAAGAATTTACTCAGCGGTAAAACATTTTTTTTCATCACAGGAATTATTGAGATTCACAAGGTAAATTAAGTATCATGTTGTTTCAATATTCAAACAGTTCATTCTAATTAATTCCTACTAAACACTTTTCATACTAAATAAAACTTAAAGTCAAATTATTTGAAATAACTTACATCTTTAATCTACTGAAAATTTACCTGGTAATGTGTTCTTCCAATTTATAAGCAAATAAAAGTTTGTTATTATTAATATACTACTATTAAAGACAAGAGTTTTAAATAGCAGCACCCATTTTTTAAATTAATTGTAACAAAAAGAAAGGAGAAAAGAGAGAGATACACTAATATTAATAATTTCACTACTTTTGGATCAACAAGTTTTGAGTGAATCTGTCATTTTTCAACATAATGAATGCAGTAATTAGCACGTGCAAAAAAGCGGATCACTAAAATTATGTTGCCTAATCACTATCATTAAACATCTTAATTAACACTAACTTAATGTGTGTGTGTGTGGGTGGGGGGGGGGGGGTATTGATAAACAAATGCCTAACACGAAATGACAATGTGAGAAGTTGATCTTTGTTTTTTTAGTTGAGTCAGCCTCAAATACAAAAATCATATCAAGGAAAGCCATTTTTGTAAAATAAAAAAATCTGAAACATCAGTACCATAATATTGTAAAGCAAAGAAAATAGAATGGTAAACAATACACATTTAATATAAAAAAAAATCTGTAAACTTTACTAGGATGTAATACTAATCTTAAAAACTCACTTATATTTATTGATGTTTGCATAAAAAAAGTTTTCAAATATGCAAAAATAATAATAATAATTGTATAGTTAAAAATCATATCTTAACGTTCAGCTTTTGTTGATAAATGTGAAACCTTGCATCTGTTTCTTTTCAAATAGCTTAGCAATAAAACAAAATTCAACTTCTGAGCAATTTGACAGTTTACAACTTTGTTTTACACAATTAATTGAATTGCTAGATAAATCATGCTTTTTCAAATCTCAAGTACACTTTGACAAATTTTCCAATTTATAAGAAAGAATACTGACCTGTTCAAATACATTAAACACTACTACTAATACTAAAAATGTTGCTAAAGGTTTGTGTAAAAATTTCAGCTACAAACTTAAGAGTACTTTAAATTACAAAAACTTAGTGACAACTTAAGTATTTTTTCTGTTGTCTTTTATGAACATGATTTAAAACAAACTATATGCATAATGAAACAAAACATTTTCTCAACTAATCTCTAAGTGTGATTAAAACTATATATAAAAGAAGTCAATTTTAAACAATCTATTCTAAAACAGTACTATAAAACAATGTCATTGCTTCATATGTTTACAGAACTTTTGGTAATGAACATTAAATGTAAAAACTGTATGGTGTATAATACTCCTAGGAGGCTATATTACATTCTAATATACTATAACTTTTTACTGGTTCCCAACACAATCAATATGAAGGAAGTATGGTGAAAATGGAGGCAACAGCCATAGTGAAAACAACAGGAAACAAAGATGGCTCCTTAGACACAGCAGCTGAAAGTAGACTAAGTCCACAAGCTGGAGGACATATCACATTCACAGTTTCTAATAGTGGGAGAAAAAAAATACTTTTAATAAACCAAATGATTTTGACAATACTTTAATATATACATCTAATTAAAATGGAAAATACAGAAAGTGAGAAAAGTAAATTTTTACAATCCAAGTACAATTTCTACCAAGGTTAGAAGAGATCCATTAGAATTTAGTTCATGCCATTTTCTGAATTTATATGATGCAAAGCAAGTATAACAAACAATACACACACACACACACACAGATAAACACATTTCCAGTTTCAAGACAATCTAATAAAAATATCAGAAGCTAATAATGTTTTAAGATCAATTATCTGAAGTGCACAGTCTTTGAAATAAACATGAAATCCCTGTCAGATAAGACTTTAAAAAAATTAAATAAATGAATAAATACTGTGAGCATTATTTACTCAAATTACAAATCCCTATTTTGACTCCAACAAATGTTATTCTAAGTAAAAGCAAGGGGCCAAAATAGGGATTTGTAGTTTGAGTAAATACATGTAATTGCCTACTGTATCTCCAGCTTTGTTTTCTTACCTTTTTTTTTTTTTATAATCCCCATTTGCAGGGTTTTAAATTCCCAAATTTTATGTTATTGTTATTTAACCATCTTGTTTGCTGGCATTTTTTTTTTTTATACTCAACTATGGACAAAGGATTACTTGATATGGTAGTTAAATTTATACATTGTGATAAGAAACATAGCTAATAACTAGCTGATACGATGACTTATTGCAGCTGTTGACTATTTCATTTCATTAGTTCCAGATTTAAATGTTAAGCTGCACTTATAGTTTCTGTGTAAGACACAGTATTGGTACATCTAATGTTTGTTTGTAATCAAGCATAAAGCTACACAATGGGCTATCTGTGCTCTGCCCACCACAGAGTACATCTAAAACATAATTCTACAAATGTGTGTAATGACATTTAATATTATGTGTACAAGGGGTGGCTCCCTAAATAAAGACACCAATTGTATAGTGTGCAAAACATTGAGTATATAGATGTTACAATCATCTGTTTATCTATTATTGGATGGTATATCCTATACTCAATACTTAGCTTTCTTGCAAGTATCTGGTGTTCCTTTAAAAATCTCAACTTCAAGAGGTAATGATAACATAGTTTCATTAGAATTTAAATGTTTTTTAGATGAAACAAATTGAAAATACCCTTATGACCTTTACAGCACCTTATTTAGTATTCTACAAAAGGTTTAGGTTCAATATACCAAGTTGTATTTGCCATAGAATGGCAAAAGAAAGAATAATAATATGAACAACCGAGCAGATTTTGGTGGATTTTAAAATTCATTCTAATTATTAGATAATTTATTTTTTCTGAATTTTTTAAATGTGCATAGCTTTTAGTATTGCAACGGAAGATTTTGAACTTTGTTTCGGGAAAGAGTTACTTTTTTAAGGTGTTTTTCATTGTGTACTCTATTAGTGTTTCATCCAAACCTGTTTGATCTCTTATTATGAACCAAAATTATAAATATAAGTATGCATTATGTGATAATCATTATCCAACAAGATGCCCAAGTGTAAGCATGGACACAAGTACAAGAAAAAGGCTTGGAATAAGCCAAGTATTAAAAAACATGGCAGTAAAATAAATACTCTGAAAGACCCCAAAGTTTTAGTTACACCACATATGAAATGTTTGGTACTATTCTTACTATAATAGATGTAATTTCACACTTTGGATATCCAAGATTTAGAATTAGAAAAATAACTATGGTATGTGCAAGAACCATTTCTTTTTTTTTTAATCACAGAACAAAAATTTACATCTAAGTATTCTCCTCACAAGAAGAACATGACCTTTACTAGGACTGTAAGTGAGGGATTGATTATATCTATAATTATGTAACTTGTAAGTATAGTACTTTAATACATTTTTTTTTTTTAATTCTGTAAAGGGTACCACTTGTAATATATTAATATATTACAGTTTATACCAGCACAATCTGAATACTTTTCCTGTGCAGTACTTCCCAGAAAACTTCTTCAAAACATAACTTTTTTTCAAAATTGTATGAATACTACGATTAGTAATTACTAGTACAAACAGCAGTCTGTAGAGCAGCATTTATGCTAGTATGGCTAAACGATAAAAGTACTGTTAACCCTAACGTACAATGCATGATAAAACAAAAAACTTTCATTAACCCATTTACTGCAGCTGGGATGTACATTTCTCAGTGCACTGGGAAATATACATCCGAGCTGCAATGAATGGGTTAAATGGACAAATAGAGCAGAACTGTACAAAATTAACAGTTTGAATTTTTTTTTCATGTAATCTACCATTTTTTTAGCACCTTTTAATACCCATTAGAATTCCTGGAATTGTATTAAATAAACTTGGTATTCAATAACTTAATTAATTTTTCTTTAGTTGTTCTGTTACTTCAGGTAAATTTATAATAACCTAATTTTTTGGTATTTTATTTTTAAAGGCAATAAAAAATAGTGCTTTACTAAAATAATGGTATCGGTATAATTGAAACACACTCATTACATTCAAAATTATACATCATTTATAAGCAACAATATTATTTGTTTTGTTTTTTGGTAAAAGACTGTTTATTATACTATATTGTAACTGCAATATTTTGCTTATATATGAATTGTATGTAGATTCATATAGTTATACTATACTATATATATATATTAAATACATAAAATCTCAATCTGGTACATGTGTTCTTGTGTATTCCATTGAAAATTAGAATCTATAAT